TTTTTTTTTTTTTTTTTTCTTTCGGTCATGGCTGCCTTTAGAAAGTCTGGGTTCAGCGGGAATATTATAGCGGACAAGGGAGGCACCCAGAGACTCTCATGTCGTAATTTTATATGGGTTCACGTGAACCATTTCAGGGTGTCGTTTTCAAATATTAACGTACCGTCAATGTTTATAAATTACATGCGGGAATTCTTCTGGAGAAAAGTCAAATGAAAAAGCCGCAGGTCCATTATGGCGCACAAATGCTGTGAACGCCTACGTGCTGATTTACCACTCTACTTCTGTATACTACGAGACGGATTGTAGTTAACATTTTACTTGCTTGTAACTTACCTTTTTCAGAAGCTTACGTTTGGCAAACTGTGAAGAAGAAAAGATAATAACAAAATTGGCGCAAGGTTCGATCATTCTTTTCGCAAGCTGTCAGCCTTTTTTTTTTTTTTGTTTTGTTTTCATTTAGCTGCACCCCTATTCCTGCTTCCATGTGGGCTTTGCCGCTACCTTTCTTTATTTGTTTCGTGCATCACTTTTCATGTGTACTTCTTTAGCTCTTTTTTTTTTTTTTTTACTTTCGAAGACACACTCATCCATGGTACAGTTTTCTTGTCCATAAGCAAAAAAAAAAGTACACACTCCAAAAATGCACTAATAATGACGATGCCCCGGTATTACCGCCCAGAAAATTTCTTACAAATATGTTGAGATTGAGCACATTCCGTCAATTCCTGAGCGTCTCTGCAAACAACAGTAAATAAATAAAAAAAAAAGTGTCGTTTAACGTTAAATCTCTTCCTTTCTCCAATACTTTCCCTTCATGTTTCCCCTTTTTTTTTTTTCTGTTTTCTCACTTTGGCCTTATGTCAGTGAACCTCATTGGAATTAAAGTGTAGTACTTGATGACCGATTATTTGGTAACACTGGTGCTAGTGGTTGTGTTGGTGTTAAAGGAGCCATTAACGGTGATGGTGGCTTTGAGCCATACATTGGTGCTCTTGGTGTACTTCTCGCACTACTAGAATTGCCCCAGCCATTGGGATGACCAACGAAGGGCTGCAACGGCGACGAACCTTGAGGATAATAGTAGGGAAAGTATCCCGGCACTTCAGCAGCGTCAACTTTAATGTCCTCAACCACCATGGAATCTCGTGGTAATTTCGCCTGTTTTGACAAGTATGGTCCATCGATTGCCACGTGTTCACACAAACTGTCTACTTCTTCCAAAGACCGAGCGTACCATACACCGCCAATATCAAAAAGAATACGCTTATGCAACTGTCGCACAAGTGTTCGCTCTGACTCACTCTTGAGATGTAAAATAAAACAACCACTGCCACGACCCTCAATGGTAAGCGGACAGGCACCACAGGTGCGGTGAAAAAGCCACATGAGTTCTGCTGTAGTCGTTTCAAACCGTACTTGACCAATGAAAAGTGGGAAACTTCCCTGTGGTGGGGGCGGTGCTTCATATACAGGGAGTGTAGGAAAAGGAATAAAACGACATTTACCATGAAGAGCGCGGTGTACCACATTTGGTGGTAATGGCTCCATTGAAACTGACGGTGTACACAAGTGAGGAGGAAACTCCTTTTGCCCACCGACAGGAGAAGCAACAATAGGACTTGTTGTACCACTCTCGTATGGATTCCATACGTTATTGAAACCTACACCTCTCTGTTGTGTGGGAGTCGCCACAAGAGGGGAGCGTTGACCGCTTTCACGAGTTCGAATTTGCACGTTAACATTAAAATCCTCAGTGTATTCATTATATTCATCATTAATTGCTAATTCGGCACGTTGTAGTGGCGCAAACACTGGGTGCAAAATACCACGGGAACTTACGCGACGAACCCTACCAGACGAATTAGATATAGTGTTGGAAGTCCTAGGAATATTATTATTATTATTATTATTATTATTATTATTATTATTATTATTATTATTATTAGTAGTAGTAGTAGTAGTAGTATTTACTGGGTCTACAGCTGCCAGAGTTGTAGAAACACCGACAACTTCATCAGGTTTGACGCTAGTAATATTATCACTAGTGCTACCACTGCTGCTTCTGCTTTGTGCCGGCTTAAGGCACACGTCAGAAGTGCTGACGTTTGAAACAGTATTCTTTGCTATTCCTGCTGGCCACATACTTATACGTACTGAGGTTTCTTCTTTTCTTTTTGTTTGTTTAATTTATTACTTCCTAAATCTCTTTTTTTTTTAAAAAAAAAAAAAATTTTTTTTTTCTTTCCGTTGTTATTATTCACTGAATTCCTTTTCCTTTTCCTTGTTTTTTTTTTTTTTTCTACCTCGGATTAGTAAATATATATATATACGTATATAGGAGAAAGAGTATACTGTTACGGTCTTGCTTAGGTGTACCTTTATATATATATTTTTTATTTTTTTCCAAGAAAGAGTGAAGGGGGAAAGTACTATAACTCCAATTTTGCCTTTTTCTTCGACAATATACCGTGATTCAGGCCGTTGGCAACTGACTTCAGCAAGATAAGAAAAAAAAAGTGAAAAACAAAATGTAATCACAGCAATAAAACACACGCACACACACACGCTGGTGTACCTCAAAGAAAAGGGAAGAAAACATATAAAAAGAAAAATTCCATTACTGCTAACTGTAATCCCCCCACCCCCCCCCAAAAAAAAAAAAAAAAAACAATAATAAAGGAGACACATGATAAGAATAATTATTACAACGACGAACATAATCACCTGTGTAGTCAATGAACCACCAACTCTATCCGTGCCTCTTTCATAGCCAGACATCACAAGGGTTGGGGGTTGTGGAACACTACCCAACGGACACCGTTTTCCAATTCGAGAGGTATATTAACGGTAATTAAGATTTGGTAAGCACCAAAAAAAAAAAAAAAAACAACAACTCACTAATGTCATTATTATACTGTAATCCTGCAGAATCATTATTATACATCCATTGGCTAAAGACCTCCGTGGTTGTGATAAGTATAGATATTGTGGAAGAACATATCCGCAGGGTATGTTCTATACACCCCTTACAATCTAACACTGTGTGGGGACCTCCAGTCATTTGTAGCCATAGAGCATTTTGGTTCACTAGATGGTTCAAATTCCCATGATAAAAACGGGAGATTGGAGAAGAACAAGTGAAAGAGGTAAACTACAAAAAAAAAGAATGAAAAGAGAAAAGAAGAGAAGAGAAATAACAAAAAAAAAAAAAGGAAGGGGATGAGGTGGGGTAATCCATTATTATTATTTGTATTATTGTCCTCATCACTCTCTCTCTCTCTCTCTCTGTCTCCATATATATATGGAAATTGAAAGAGAGAGTCTCGTTTATGGGTGATACAACGTTTGCGGCGTATGTTTCTTAGAAAAACAAACTCTTTCCTGTCATAAAACACATACGCATAAAAAAGAGACGACCATTCCTAACAAGTAAAACAGGAGATTAGAACATTAAAACAAATAAAAACAGTATCACACTAGTATTGCTAACACACCCCTTTCACTTGATTGGTGTACGTGATTGCATTCATATGTTTCTGCATAGATGTGCACACAAAACACGCAGACCCACTCATACACACACACATATATATATATATATATATATGTATGCTCCACTACGAGAGACAAAAGACTCTCCTATTATTCCTAGAAAACAAATCACGCACTCCAAAAATACCACACAACAAAACAATCACCTGCAAATGGACAATAACAAGATCAATAAAGAAGAAAATAGGAAATCAAACGTGTGCTGCAAGTATTCTCACTGAAAACTCCGTCATAATTTCAAATAACTTTTAAAACAGAGAAAGAAAATGCAGCCCGTAGCTTGATTCGTCAAGAATGTATCATCCCCTAAAATCTACAAACCTAACCTGTTACCATGCATATTGTTGTGCAATCACACCATACTCTAATACGCATAGAGAGTTCTTTGGGACGGTGGTAATGAACCCTTTATGTTTACCGCGAGGAACTCCTCAATTTTACCTGTATTCAGAAAACGACGCATCTGTTCACCAAAGACTGTGTTCTGCTCAATATATTGATGCATGCGACGCTTTTCCTGATAGTGTTCAAGGGACACAAACGTGAAATACGTTGGCACACCGGTAATTAAAACACGGCCATATCCCTGTGGTGTGTACCGCCAGCGTGTGGTTAAGAACTCCAGCACAGTTTGTTTCACCTGTCCATCCACACCAACATCGAAGAAATGAGGAAGTCCATATTGTCGTTTCACTGTCGCAGTACCCGCAGTGTAGAGCACAAGTGACCCAAACAACGCTGCTGAGATCGCCATATTACACCGACGCCACCATTGACGATGTTTCTCAATTTCCCAATCCGACTCTGTTTGAAACTTACGCCAACGCATCATCCATTCATCAAAGTACTGCATCTTTAGTTCATACTTCATTTTTTCTTGTACAGAAAACCCCAGTCACAGAAAAAAAAAAAACCAAACTAACAATCCTAAAAGATAAACAGAAGAAGGAAAAATTTTTTACAATCGGGTAAAAAAACAAGATCACTTAAAAAATTCGCATGGACTCTCAAAAACTTCGGAAAAAAAAAAAGAATATATCAACAAAAAACACCTAAAATTGCATCTTGATTCAGGTATTAATACAGCGCATGTTGAATCATCAATCCACATGCAATTTCGTTTTCACATAACCCCGCCACCTATCCCATAAATAAAAAAAAAAAAAAGTGAAAAAAAAAAAAACAATAACACTGGATATATAATCACATATTATTTTCCCGTGTGGTGGGGTTTCAACACATCCAAAATTTCAAGTCTACCAACACCCGTCTTAAACCAAAAGTCAGGAAAAAAAGACACCGTTTTTCTACATATTCGGCAAAAACGAAATATATCGATGGTAAAGACAGACAGATTATGGTGGTATGGCACATTCAAACATAAAAGCATAAGATGATGCAACAATATGCATTAAGGAAAACAAGAAGAAGAACCACACAGTGGTGTGCTCAGTAGAAACAAAAAATGAAATAATATAAAAAAAACCCAAAATAGAAAAGGAAACGAACGCATTATTATCTGTCAAAATTACAGCACATAGAAGAAACGGGGCCCACACCAGTAATATGGCCAATAGTAAGGACCAAAGCCAAACTTCTGCTCGACAGAGTACTTCACGTAGAGAAAGCCGTCGGCAT